AAAAAAAAAAAAAAAAAAGAAGGAAAGAAAGAAATCGGGTAAGATTAAAAAGATGTGCATTTCTTCATAAACTTTACTGTCCACATCACAAGATGCCCAGGAGGAATAAAGGTATAAAATTAGGGCAATCAGATTTACGAGCTATTAGGGTATTTTGGAGATCCAGAAAATTGGTTCCGTGTCTTTCTTTCTGTCTGGGTTGGGGATGACTTGTTTAGGAGGCTTTTTTGTTTGTTTGTTTTATTTATAGTCCAGAGAGAAAATAGGGAGGTAGTACTTAGAGCTGTCTTTAGGCTTGTGAACAAATGATAACAGGAACTTTGAGGTTTCGTATTAGACTGCCTAGTCTAGTTTTACAGTACAGAAAATGAGGAAAGGATTAAAGGAAGACACCCTCCTTAGAAATAAAGATTTTACATTTGTCTAGATTCTTACAAAGCTCAAAGTGATGTGGTACAAGAAAGCAACAAGTTCCAATAATATTTCTGGAATATTACTGAAGAAAACTCAGATTTCTTGGCTGTTTCTTGGGTCCCCAGTGGGTTCCCTAAATCTTAAGGAGGCTGTTAAGTATTAATTGCACCTTTATTTTCAGGTGGAATGTAGATTTAATAGCTGAAAGATATTACTGCTTAAAATAACAATTTGGAGGAGTTCCAAAGCTTGCAGAATTAAGGTCCATACTAATACTCTGCAGTCTGTAGCTAAACAGAGCTGACATTTCCATCAAAGCCTGCTATACAATATGGGTCAAGACAGGACAGATAAAAGCCAAGCTGTCTTTAACCTGGTACATACGGACATCTCCCTGTTTGCTTAAAGGGAATCTGGGAGCCATGGACCCTGTATGAGAAGGTTGTCCAAGGGCACAATGAATCCCAGCTTTGCACGAGTTGCAAAAGAAGTCATAGAATTTGTGACTGCCAATCCCCCTCCCCTCCATTCTCATACTCATTCCAACATTTGATATTTAGGTTATGCTTTAACATGAATTTGAGGTAAGAGCCATTTTACGCACTGCTGGTGAAGGTGACATTGACACTGTACGACTGTCCTTTGCTCAGTTGGCAGGGCTGAGTGGGGCATGGGCTCACATTCACTTCCTTTATAACTCCATCCACAGAACCTGCAAAAGAAAAATGAATTGAATAGGAGAAGTAAATCAGCTAGACTGTCCACTACCAAATGGGAAGGTGCTCTGCTCTCCCAGTTAGGGTGAATTCTTTCCCTCGGACTGTTTCCCAGGATGGAACCTTTAAGAATAATGCCCAATTAGAAGTCAGAGTCTTGATTCATCTTGCTGCTAAAATCATAGCCTCTAATTCAGATGATAAAGAAGCTAGTTGGTTTTCTGACTAAGAGAAAGTTAATATTTGTCAAACTAAATAATATTGAGACCATATCCATAAATGATTATATTAAAGATCATATTATTTGGAGAAACTCCAAATGTTCCTAGAGTCTTGTCTTGCATTCTTAACGGTAAGGGTCACAGTTTTTTTTTTTTTTTTTTTTT